TGTCAAAAAAAACGTTTATATTGAAGGAATTTACCTAATTCAATCAGCGATGATCAATGGCTGTAAAAATCTTCAAATTTATTAAGTAAGTTATGGACTTTCTAAGAAAAATAAACACTATTTTATGGCGGGGGTCTCCAAGAGACCTATGGATAGTATCACTAAAAGTCACTTTATTCAAATAATTAACCCCCCCCCCCCCTTATTTAAAAATAAATGAGAGAGAAAATAAAAATTAGATATAGTATTGTTTAAAAATCGATTCTCGTATTCCTTATCTTTTATATTTAATATCAATTAGCACTTTATCTCCTTTTTTGTCAAAAAATGCATATTTATTATTATATATTTTTAAAACAACTTAAAAATGATCGAATCACTGATTCCTTCATTGGATTGAACGGCAAATTAATTTTATTTTTATTTTTTTAAACAATACAATGTTAATTGAACTTATATTCCATAACTAATTTAAAAATATCTTTATTGTATTTTGTTTCCCGCGTTCAATCTATTTCTTTTTGCCCTTTAGAAATCAGCTGCGCCGCTCTAGCTAGATATCGACGTTTATACTAAAAATAAGTCATTTTCTTATTATTACTTGGTCGTGTTCAAAGATGTTCAATTATAAATATCTTAGGCGGTCCTGAGCAAGCTTTTGCTTACTCCCCATAGATGCCACCGACTCATGCGCTTATGTAAGAATTTGCTGTGGGAGGAGGATAATTAATTTTGTTTTAGATAATATTGTTGTTATTTAAAAACATCTTAAGTTTCATAAATTTATTATAATGACTATTTCTAATGCATAAATTCAAATTAATATGAATTATAAAAATTATATGTATATAACCGGTGGCATATGAAAAATAAAAAATGGGAATTATAAAATATTAAACCGATATAACCGGCGTATAAATTACTATATAATAAATGTCCCAAAATAGAAATTAAAATTGAGCCTTTAAAAAATATATATATAATATTTGAAAAATTTATATGTTGGAAATATAAATTAATGCACAATAAGTTTCTTAAGTATAATTTTATTTTGTACGTATAGTTTATAAAGTATTCATTAAAATATATATTGCACGTTAAAAAATGTATTTCACATTAAAAAATAAAATTGCACGGAAAATATTTTTAAGAAGCGAATTATAATGTAAAATCCAATTTTCTTTGGGATTGAGCTAATTCTTCAATAATTTCATCTGTACTTGGCGTCAAATGCCTATGTACAAAGTCATTCAATCTACTTTCAGAAGTTGTACTTCTTACTGGTCAATGCCTACAATATCTGCGGCATACGATATTATAAATATATATATCATAATTATAGCAAACTTTACTATTGTTTTCTTTTCCAATTTTATAAATCATTATTATTTATCATTCGCGTTACATTACTTTTACCTGAAAATATACTCAAATTTCCGGTTTAATTACAATAAAACATTCAAGTGCAAAAGCTATAAAGATCAATGCACTTGGCTAAATTATGTCAAACATAGGCATAAAATTTAGTTGCGTATTTATCTGCTAAAATTGAGAAACATGTGGCATGATTATCAGTTATTTCATTTTGAATTCTGGGGCTGATAATTTATATTGCTGCTATTAAGGCTCTCCATTAATGCAGAATCCCTTAATACTTAAAATTTTACAAGATCACGAAAATTCCTCATTATTATCATCATCAAAATTCTAACTTCTGAATTTAAATCATGTAATGCTAGGATCTTCAATCCACAATACAAGATGGGTTTAAAAGTTATTTTTATTTTACATCTATTTTCTGGTGTCATTTTAATCTTATTTTTTAAATATGTGATGAAATGGGAATTATATCCCCGCTTTGAAGGCTCTATCGTATGGATGATCATTGTGCTTTAGTTTTGTAAAAATTATAAAATGATAATATATTATGTATAATACAACACCTCCATATAGATAGGTTTACCCATAAAATTAAATATAATTGATTTTTATTATTTAGAATAGCTATCCTTTTGATGGCCCTATACTGACTTTCATCTATATAATCAATTATTCTTCTATTTGCATGTTCCATAATTTGTATTTATTAGGGGAGGAATTTTAATTACTGAGTAAATAAATAAAATATTTAAAAATGATCTTCTATACATTTTTACTTTTTTTGTTAGATGACTAGTATCCTGAATATCATCATCATCAATATGTATAAAAAATTTCCTAATTAGCCATAATTTAAGAGTGAAAAAATTGAAATTATTTAAAGGGAAATTTGAAAATGGTAGATAACTATTTCGCTAAGTAAAACTTGAAATCGAAATTAATTCATAGAATTAAATTAGTAGATGAATGTGATAAATAAATGTAATTAAATTTAAATATGTATTTAATATAAGAGAGGAATATGATTATTTTATATAAAATATAAATTACTATAAAACAGAATAATATTTTTGAAATATATTTCCGGCATCTGCATGCTTGGGGGGGGGGGGGGGGGTGTTGTCACCCTGCACTCACTCTTTGCTGCATACGCCAACGCACTGACTGATTAATATTGTTCCATTCGGAATACAAAAAATTAATTCAAAAAAATCATTTAATTTAAAACGTAAGAAGTGCATAACAATAATCAAGCACAAAATAATTTGAGATGAGTTTGTGAACCAAAAAATTTCGGAAGATTATTCGAAAATAGTTTAAGCCTATAAATATTTCCTCTATACTAATATATTTTTAAAAATGGAAAACAGATTTAATTATATGTTGATTTTAGGCTATCTTCTTATATTAACACTTAGCATCATATAAATAACGAATGTTTATTTAAATTTTGTGACATAAAAAAACAGCTACATATTATTTTCCATTGTTTTAATTCAACTTTTTGTGCACAAAAAGTTTTTTTTTTAAATAACATAACTTACATTTGTTCTTTGTATGCTCATGTTTTTACTATTAATTAACCTAATAAAAATTATATTCAATATGAGGAGGATCGTATACTGAATTTTAATGACTTCTAGATAAATGACAAAGATAAATAATAAAATTTTCTTTAAAGAAAAGACATCTGACAAGAGTTCAGCCAGGGAGGAAGATTTATTTTAGAGACCATTTTGCAACGCTATTTATAAATATGATGTTCAATTCTTATTCCTTAGAATCATGTGCCAAACATTAATTTTTACTCAAACACAAGCAACGATTATAATTATAGTCGAGTTTAGTTTATCGCAGAAAAATAATTATTCCTGGAATGAAAGAAGAAAAAAACTCCAGAAAAAAATTTTTTGAAAAAAAACTCACTGAATCTTTTATATATATTTTTTTTTAATGTTATATTTAACTCACGAAAAAATTTAGAAGTTTATAAGAAAACCAAATTTTTTTTGAAGGAGCAAAAGTTTTTTTTTATGAGAAGGCGACTCCTAAGATTTTGATCCCAACAATTTAGACATTTTTATTACAAAATATCTTATAATTTTTATTTATAATCGAAATAAATCTTATTATACGAATATGATCTAAATGTCCTTCCTTAGGGTATTATTTTCGTGATCTTTTTTTTAGCTATGGGAAGAGTTAAATTTTAATTAGAAAAGTAATACAATTATAAACCCGGTTGGATTATAGTACGGGCATATTAAATATAATTTAGTTTTTGCTCGGAGTTTAATGGTTTTTTCCCTCCCTTTAAATAGTCCTGCCTGATTAACAAAAGTTTTGAGGCAGGATGAATAAAAAACTTTAACTTAATGTAATATATGTTAATTAGTCAGCTTAAAATTGGCTAAAACTGCTATAAAAAGATAGATTCTATAAATTTAAATAGCTTTAAAATGTTTCCAAATAAAATATTTTTTTAAAAAAATAGTATTATATATATAATTTATAACTATATAAAACGAATTATTTGATTTGGCCCTATATTAAGGTAAGGACGAAAATAATATTTTTTTTTATATTTTATGAATTTTAAAATATTATACTATTGATTTAAATATAAACATATTGCCATAAATATTAATAAAACGACTGATATATTGTAAAAAATTCATTATTTTTTTAAAAGTAACAACCAGGTAAAAAATATTTTGAAAATAAGTAATTATTTATTTATTTTTTTTGGAAAAGTTTGATTAAGATAATTTGGATTTAAAAGAAAGAATATTCCATAATTGTATGTATTAAAAATTATTATTCACATTTTGTTAAATTGTTTATGCTATAATCTGCCATGCATTCATGCTTTTAATCTTTTGATTTCGGTTCTTATAAATTTTATTTAAAATATTTATTGGTTTCACGTTTCATTTCCCCTTTCACTTTACGGCGGGATCTCCAGAGAAATTTCATAAGCGCGCTTTCTCTATATTATATTTTAAATATCCATTATTTTTGTTGTCCGGATATAATGCTAATTATAAACAATGTAAACTGTACAAAAAAATAGTTCTATTCTCCACGGTGACAAATAATGGACAAAATGTAGCTTTTGTTGTTTCACTAATTATTTATATTTTTATATACAAGTATGGTATGGTATTGTTTTTCTTCTTTGTATGATATTTAATTTTTTATTGTACTTTATTTTGTATGAAATGCGCAATGTGTGAGCGTAGATTTAGTAAAGAGCTTGCTAATAATTAACGTTTCCGATATGGCATTTTTTTTTAAATTACATTATTAAAATTTATTTTGTTGCTTTTTCTCCATACAAAATTTATGAACTGTTTTATTATAAACATAAAAACTTTAAAATCCTTCTTTTTTTCATATTGCAAAACATGTATTCATAAATATTTATAAAAACATATAATTTAATCTAATTATACATACTATAGTAGTAACATAATATAATGATAAAAAGAAATTTAAATTTTGTTTTTGATATTAAAATATGGTTAAATTTGTTGATCCAATTAAATTAAGTTTGATCACTCTTTAAATATAATTAATCATAATTCTCATTTTTATAAAATATTAAAAATTCATAAAAGCTCAAAAACAACCTAAACACTATGGTCATCAAGTCAATTAATCCCAGGAAGCATCTCGATTTTAGGGTCAAAAATCTATCAACGAATACAACGCTCGATAAAAATAGCAAATATCTCAATAGAAATTTTGCTTTAACCAACTTAAACTTGGCTAACATCGGTCCAACCTTTCAAACTTTCAATAATCATATTAATAATACTACTAAAAGTAAAATTAATAAAAACGGTTTAATCAATGCTGAATCTATTCCTTATTCCATACGACAACCAGAAGTATATAATCCTTACTTGCCTTCGTTTGTTCCTCAGGATTTATACAACTCTTATAATAATTACTCAACGAATCAATTAGCATACCATTTCGCCAATCAATACAATTATGAAATCGGTCGGACGCTCTCGGCATTTGCCGCTAGTCATGATAATCCAATAATAAATCAGAGTTTAACCAACTCAGATCCCTACCTTAATAATCTAAATAACCAGAATTCATGGCTAGATAACACTAAGAGCCAGGCAGATCATTCTTATCTGAGAGATAGGTGCTCTTCTTTCGATGATGCGCTTCTTCGAATACGGAATGGGTGTTTTGCCAATCATCTCTACGATCAACTAATAGTGGCTCACGCTAATAAAAATTTCGAATCGGCATCGGTTTGTGCCGACGAAAGTTACAAAAATTTTGATATAAAGGAAAAATTGAATACAATATCCAAGCCTAGAGATAATAATTATAATTTTGATGCTGGTAAAAAGAAAAATGGCGAGGAAAATCCCAACGGAAATTTTAATATTAACTCTCTCATTGGATCTACAGATGAAGCGAACAACATTAATGAAAATGAACTTGATCACGAGGAGTTTCTCTTAGATGAAAGAACAAAGAGTAAAATTAATTTTACATCTTATTTATTCGAAAATTATTTTAATAATATATTTCTTAAATCTATTATAAAAAAGATATTTTTGTCTATATTGTCCAGGGACTCGTGAGTAAAATGAAAAAAACCGGAAAACATTAAACTGAAATGATTAAGCCTTTATTTACTAAATTTTTTAGATGAGCTAACCACATATATATTTTTATCGAACCGGTTTAAAAGGGTTTTGTTTTAATATCCTTATTGTAATTTCTTTGAAGTGTAAAAACTTACTTAGTATCTTTTTTCCTTAAACCAATCAAATCACCTGTATTTATTTTTCAAAGTTCGTGATAATTTTTAAAATCCTAATAATTCTGCAATTTCTTTCGAAACCATATTTAATTATTGGCCGGGGATCTAAACCGACTTATAGACTAGTAGTAATAACCGACCTCTGTCCTTTCAAAATTTTTGTCACTGTAACAGAACCTCTAAAACTGTATATATGAGTATACACCTTCTTTCTTATACTTTGACTGATTTAAACTGAGCTATGAACCCAAAAAACAGGTTCGAGTTCTTTGGAGGATTCCTGATCCATATGTTTAAGGTTCGAAGTTGAGAAAAACAAGAACTTATAAAATTTATTTAAAATAGTAACAACATTAGTTTTTATTTTATTTAGTATTCACCATACAATTAATTTATGATTATATTTAGAAAAAGATTATGATTAATCTTGATAGGTGAGACGCCATTTTTAGATATTTTTATATATTGATATCTGGCGTTGACATTAATTCTTTCTCTGTAGATATAATTTGACAGAGAATCACATTTTAATTGAATGGCTCAAAATGATTTTTTTAGGAAAATAACTCTCTGTTTAATAATATTATATAGTTAATAAATACTATTGCTCTAAAATAACGTCGATACAGGTAACGTTATTACTCGGATATACCTTTTTAAATAAAAGGAACGCCATTCGTTACCTTTTAAAAAGATCATGAGTAACGCGTTTTTTTTGAGTAATGATAACGTAAAACATTATTTTAAATTTTTCTTAACCGAGTTTTAAATTCAGATCAACTACCAAAGTTCTACATTTTTATTATATTTCTATTGTTGAATTTTATAGTTAAGATTGTTAATCTAATTAATATTGAATTAATCAAAGTATTTATTATAATGAATATATATGTCAATATTATTTATTTCTTCGGTTAAAGATGATTTAACTCTGCCCTGGCCTCAACATGAAATATTTTTTACAATTTAATATTTTTTAAGTAAGGAGTAACGCGTTATTCTTTTGAAGTGACGTTTACAGCACTAATTAACACTATTATTTGTTATTAATTATATTAAAATATATACAGTGTTGTACAGTGCAGATTAAATGGAAAACATTTTAATATTTTATAATTTATTTACAAATAAAATTATTTTACATGTGAAATAATTTTATTTGCAAATAAATTAAAAAATAGTGAAATGTTTTGTTTTTCATCAAATCTGCACACCACTTAATTAGTTGTATTTAATGTGAAATAATAACAAAATTAACATTTTATAAATATTGTAGCACAGCAAATTTTAGGTAAAACATTTAATAAACATTTGCGATTTTTTAAAATGTCGGCGTTTTGGTAATAAATATTTTAGATGTTCTATATATAAGTTCGAACGGTTTTGAGACCGAACCGATATTATTATTTTTTACGAACGGTACTTAAACTTTGAGCCGTTACCAAAAGAGAATCTATATCCGTTGGTTCGCAACCTTGTTTTTATCCCCTGAATCGTAACTGATTCCTGATAAATATTCGGTTGTTTGGGTTCCTGATATATCATACATTATTATTAATTCCAGACGCATTTTACACCCACGAAGCAATCTTGAATACGCATTGCAGAGATGTCAAACGATCGAATAAGAAAGTATCCCCCCAGACATCGCCAGTTAATAAACTTAAAGCAATTTCATCGATAAACTCGTCAAACGAAGAATATATTAAAACAATTGATTATATGAATAATGAAAGTTTCAATGATAAAACAACTAAAAATTTGAATAACGATCAATCATCTATCTCCTTTTTCGAAAACATGTTTCCACCTCAATATATGAAGATGATGAGCGAACAGCAATATCTGTACAACCCCTTTTATTATATGTACAATCAATATAATCTTAATCAATACCCGGGGTACAATAATTTTTCAGGCGCTGCCCCTAATTGCACATTTAATAATCCATCCCATTTCAATCCTGCCGTTATAGCACCCGCCAGAGCCAATAATTGTACTTCTGTCTCATCAGAAATCGATACGACCATGACTATTAATAGTAATCAAATGACAGAAACAAAGGAAATTAAGGAAAAAGAGCATAAATCTAATAAAAGTAAAAAGCAATGCAAGATAAGCATGGCCAAGGGAAGGGAAAGGTCGGGAAGTCTTACATTAAGCGAGAAAGAACCGACACTGTTATTTTTAAAAAAACGAGATTTACAGATTGAGGAGGACTCTAACGACAATCTTGTTAAACCTCCAGAAATCCATAGTTGTTCGGAAGAAGTGAAGCTTTTCATCACCAAAAAAATGAAAAAGTGCCAGGAAATTGCGGCTAATAATTACTGTGATCTCGAAGAAAGGACAGAACTCAAATCACCTCAAAACGTCTCACTACCAATTAACGAACAAAGTTTTCATTTTATTTTAAAATTTATTTCATAAGTCGATAAAAATATTTGTTTCGGGCTAAAAATTCTAAGCTAGTCTAACATAGACTGTCTGAAATGGATATTTAAATTAAGGATTCTAAATTTTTATTATAGTTAAGTGTAATAGAATATTTATTTACACTATAACGCTCACCAATTACGACAATGAAAAAAAAAGGAGTTAGAATATCTAGAGAAAAAAGACGCAAAGATAGTAATTCCAAACAACACGTAAAACGTCCCATGAATGCTTTCATGGTATGGGCCAAGGATGAAAGGAAAAAAATATTGGGTAATTGTCCAGACATGCACAATTCAAACATCAGTAAAATTTTAGGTATACAATAATTATTATATAAGCAAGACAATTTTAAAATTTGTTTTATTTTAATTTATTCAAAGGAGCGAGATGGAAAGCTATGACAAACATAGAAAAACAGCCTTATTACGATGAACAGACCCGTTTAAGTAAACTGCACATGGAAATCCACCCAGATTATCGTTATAAGCCTAGACCCAAAAGAACTTGCATTTTAAACGGCAAGAAATTGCGAATCGCGGAATACAAACTATTGATAAAAAATAAAAAAATAAACCCCTTCCCAACCCAAGTTTATATTTTTAATAACTTTTACATAAATAAACTTTAAACCTTCCTTTAACTGCAATCAAACCCATATTTTAGTGCTTATAAATGTTCAATTACATTTTAAGCGTACACTTTTTGCCCCTCACAGGCCCATGCAACAGAGAATTTTTAATTTGAGACTATATAAGGCTTATGTTAATTTGTATCCAATCATAAAAAATTGTGATTTATTTTATTGTTTAATAAAAGTTAAGGCCATGTCAAAGCTAAGATTATTTCAAACAGACTAAAAAGAAAGAGGCTATTGAAATTTTTACCTTATTTGTACCGAAAAAATATATAAATAACTTTTTCTAACTTACAAACTTAAAACAAGCCACAATTATCATAGCTAAAAGGTTGAATAGTCTAGGGCAAAACAGAAATAAATTATCCTAATTGACACTGTCTAACAATTATTTTTATATAACTCGTAGATCAATTTTTTGTCTAATCGGATTGAAAGTCCTTACCTATCCCCATCAGGTATCATTGACGCCGAAGATTTTTTTGATTCCAAGATTCAAGTTGAATGATGCGAAAAAAACAAAAGGCGCTATTAAACATTAACGTTTTATTTGGGAATAAATAGCTATTCAAAAAAAACTTCCATTATTTATGTTATATATATACTCATTCATTTAACTAATCATCACAATATTCAGTGTTTTTTTTAAAATAAAATAATATACATTTTTGCCGGGTTCAAACTCTAAAATAAATACTCTTGAATTAAATATTTTTTAAAAAAAATGAATTTATTTTTTCGAAAACCACAAACAAACCATATCTCTTTTCTCAGGGCAGTTTTTAATTTTAAAATAAAATAATTGTATTTTTTTTAAACAATCTTTCAAACCAATATGTGAAATGTTTAAAAAAAAAATTTTTATATTGTCGGTGATCTAAAAAAACAAATTTGCAATATTACTATATTATATAAAGCCACTTATATTGGTATAAATATGTTTTTTTCAGTTGACGCTATTTTTTAAAAATCTAAATCATTTTTTTGATCGCGTTTTATAACATTTAAAAATCTGATTTTACCGGAAATCATTTTGGCATGTTTGGAAAACCATTTCTTTGATTTTTAATTTTCAACTTAATATAATTCACTTTAGTTTTTATATAAATTACTCAAAGTTGTTTGTAATTCATATGGGATAATGATAAATATTTATGAGGTAAAATTAGATTTTTAAATTTATAAAAATGGGAACAAAAAAATAATTTAAGGCTGAAAAAATAATATATTGACAGAAAAATACATAGGCGATAATATTTATATATAATATTAAATTTATAATCATTATAAATATTTTAGTTTTATTATACCTATCTATATTATAAATAATGATACAAATTTATATATTGATCTCTTTCCCCATAAATTTAGTTATCAAAACAACTATTCATACTCCTCCCTAGACAAGAAAGTATTATTGTAATTCTTATAAGTTTGAAAAATGCACTCCATTTACTTTATACTTGGATGATGAATAATTAATAGTATCCCTTTTCTATAATTTGAAACATTTAAGGTGCAAAGATTTTAAAAATACTAAAATTTATGATTTATTTCCTTTTATATTGTCGCAAACATACAATTGAAATAAGCCCATAACGTAGAAGCAAAATTACCCCATATATATAAATATGTATATCAATTTTCGTCATATAAAACATAGTGTATTTAATTTATTTTATATATTACATCATTTCAAGGATTTTACAAATTATAATTAATAATTATTATATTAAAAAAACAGTTACACATTACGGGTCATATACATTTAATATATTATGACTATATATTATAAATAATTATTTTTGCCCATTTTAATTAATTATGATAACTCTAAAATAGGAATAAATTAATTTCTATATAAAATGATATTTTAATGTACCATTTTATTTTGTGTATGTAAATATTATTTTTTAAGTGTAAAATTGGCTATTTACAAAACACATTTTCGTAGTTAACATTTGTTCTCGATTTAAAAAAAATAGTTATAAATTAGTTGCATATATTATAATTATGTGAATGGAATTTAGACTTGAAAGATGGACCACATAAGAAACATTATTTAAGAATAATTTAAATAAATAAAATAAACCCCTATATAAAATTTGGCTATAACTTTTAGTATTCATTATCTTATGATTAATGCTTAAAAAATATTCAATAAAAGTTTAAAAAATTTATTTATATCCTATTTGTCCATATATTTAAAATAATATTTCTATGGAAAAAAATCCCCCAAATTTCCAAAGACTGATTTCCGTTATTTACCTTCGCTTGAATAACCTATAGTGTAAAATAACGTTTCTAATTTTACTCCATCGTTTTCCTGAGATAACATATTTTTTAAAAAGAAAAAATGGTCATATAAAATATGGCCCAGAATCAAAATAATAAAACTGATTTAATATTAAAGGAAAAAAAACAAAAATTAGAAACTGCCTAAATATTTTTTTTGCGAGTACATATTTAACATTAAAAAGTTAAAAAATAATCACTAATCACATCTTCGATGGTTTTGAAAATAATTATGATTGTTATTACTTTTTCTCTCAATACCAATACTTGTCCAGATTTACCTGTATAAGCCACAATCTTAAAGTTAGCGAAATATATTCAAGAAATGCAATAAAATATTGTGAAAAAAACTCACAAAATAAGCTCGTAGCGACATATATAAAATTTTGAGGATCTTTAGAGTCGATTTTACTGATCTTCTTAATTTTTAGCTTCTTGATTGGACTCCTTTTGATAATCATGTATGAATATAAGATTATGAATATAATTTAAAATTAATTTTAAAAAAGAGCATAGTAAATCTTATCTTGAGCCGTTCACTGTACCACCCCAAAATCTAATAAATAATCTTTGCTGATCAAAACGTTTTCAATGTTATATCTATAAACATTTTTAAGGATAAATCACCTAATATTTTGAGTATTCTTAGATTCGACCAAATTTTTAGTGTCTTCATCCCTGGATTTTGAATGGGAATTGATAGGAAAACTGATATTTAATTTTTCGGCAGGTTCAATAGCAACGTTAGGCTCGAAATCTGATTTGTCACTAAATGGTTCTCTTTGAAAACGGGAATCGAGTATCTGGTTTATTGGATATAAAATATAATGAATGAAGAACAATATACTCGGGATAGAGCCGCATAAATGGAATTTTTATCTCAAGTCCGGTCCGAATTTATTCTTAGTGAGACTGTTGTGAATTTTGAAAATAGAAATCACACGTTTTATAATAAATTTAACTATAATAAAAATCGCTAATGGCGTTTGATCTAATTTAAAAAAGATTTTTACGAAAATTGTATTTAAATAAAAGAAAAAACTTTATTATTTTCATTTTTATAAGCCCGAGCCCTGCTTTGAGCTGACTTGCAACTTTGAGAGTATGTATAAATTGCATCTGGAGCAAATTATTTTCTGAGGACCCCTTAAATGTAATTCTAGCGTGCACTGAAAATTCTTAGGCATATATTATCTTTTTTAAAAAAATCATAAATTTTAACAAAATATCAATTTTAAAAAAATTTAGAGATTCATCAGATAATAAAATATGAATGTTCATATACGTAATTTATGTTTTCGGTATAGGCATCATCTATGTAATCGAAATCATGAGCGATCTAGGAATATAAATGTTCAAAAAATACATAAATAAATTCATTTTTATAAAATGAAGTTAATGAGATATAGGAGAAGATTTTAGTATATTCCCATCTCACCTTTCTCCTAACACGAGATATAGCATTTCTTAAAATCTGTAAACCTATCATATCGAATTCCTAAGGGTTCCAAGATGTAGGTTTCCTATCCAAAGCCTATTCCACTTCATTTATTTCTTTTAGGTTAGACATTTAAGCGAAATCATTTTTAATTATCTTTCAATGCCTTCTAAGTTCAATACTTATTTTTTTAAATCCTTTGATCATTTATTTTTATACAAGCCAGCTTAAAATTCTGAGCTCGTATAATTAAAAATAATGTATTTGTTTTTTTAATACAAGCTTATTTAAAATTAATAGCTCGTATAAATTATGATCTATGTTTTATATGAGATGGTGCAATATGTGAACACTTTCTTATTTTCTAAAAAAAATCAAAATAATTTATTTTAAAAATTTGATAACAGTTTCGTTTTTCAATAACAAAAGGTACAATATAAATATATTTACTTTTATATTTTGAAGGGATAGCGCCATTTCATTCAAAATATTTGTAGTATTTATGTAATTGGGTAGGACGAATTTTGGCTATATAAGTATTTAATTGATTAATTATTTATAATATTTTAATATTATAAAAATGTATATAATAATAATTCATTCGATATTGACAATTCAGACCCCTGCAATATATATCATTTGAGCTAATTATGCCGTGGAGAAAGACGAATAAAACTATTCACCTATTCTTAGCAAAAAATAACCCGATTTCATACTCAATTAGATTTTTGCATCATGTCAATTCATTGGTTAATATAAAATATCATAAAAATTAAATAGGTATTCATTCAATTTATAATTGAACATTGTTGAAAGTTCGTATTTTTACATTATATATATAACTTTGTATAATATCAAATGTCAATCATATGTTTAAATGTGGTAGATTGAAGCTTTACAGTATATGTACTTTTATTCAATACCAAATGACAATCATATAATGTCTAAATGTCGGATAAGATGTCAATTATAAAATTTAAGGATTGGGATCAGGACTAATAAAAGCTTAGTCTACTGAATCTTTCAGCTGGTGGTATTAATTTATGTATATAATTATTAGAAATATCTTAGTGGTGCACGTGCACCCATTATAACAAGTGGGTTAATATGGGATATGATAAAATTAGTGAAAAGAACAAATTTTTCACATATGGGAATAAGTGGTGAATATATTCGTATGTTAGATAAACACAACGCAGGATAGTTAATATTTCAAAAAATAAATTCAAAATAAGAATATATGTAGAAGGGTTTAATTTTTTGGAAATTTTTAGATATACATATGGGTAACTAATAAAGGGTAAAATTAGTTATATATATTAAGCAGGAATGTTTACAAGGGTTAAAATATAAATAAATATAGGTCTATAAATATATATGTGAAATAAAGATCATGTCTGATCTTTGTAAACAAAATTTCAACTCAAATAAAAGGTTTTGGGGCTAGATATTTTAATTTAATAAAATTTGAGATATAAAGTTTAGAAAGTGTGTTGGTCTATTTTTAATTAATGTTGATCTATTGTAAAGGTAGTTCATTTTAAATTAATGTTGATATATTATTAATGTGTTCTAAAGATATGTTTTTATTGTTTCATTTTAATTCAATTAATGTAGTGTTTTTTGAATGGTGTGTTAATATTGGTTTATTTAGAATTAAACATATAAAATATTTAATTATAAATGATAAATGTGATATATTAAATTTGAAACATATGATATGATTATTTTAAATGCTAAAGACGATGCATTTAAATTTAAAGAAAGAAAATATCCATTTGATTATGTATATTTAATAAAATTGTATTTACATGTAATCTACATTTTGATTAGCCTTTTATAAAGAAATATATAAGTATATATTCTATTAAACCCTTGATGTGTTGAAAGACAAGAAAATGATTTAAATATGGGAGTAATTAGCTCTGACTCAAATATTATTGAAATGGTATCAAATGGATTTTGATAAAAAATGAAGCGAATTTTGGAAATTAAATGAATTAATATTTTTTTGGAGAATGTAGCATGTGGTCTGTGAAGTATGGGCGTGTTGTAAACGTATTTTTATATTATATATATATATAACTATATAATATCAAATGTCAATCAAATAATGTTTAAATGTCGTAGATTGATTAGTTTTACAGTATATGCCCTTTTATTCAATATCAAATGACAATTGTCGAAAATGTCAATTGGGATCGGGACTAATAAAAGGCTTTGTCTATTGAATTTTCCAGTGGTATTAGAATTATATTTTAATTATTAGATTATATTTTAATTATGTGTATAATAATTAGAAATATTTTAATACACAATTCAAAATTTCTAAATATAATAATAAAAAATTTTAAAATGAAAGTAATAAAAAATAACTTCCGTAGTCTTTTCCCAGAGTTTTAATTTCTGGAGCAAAAAATGGGTTCCTCGTACGAGGTAAATTGGTGGGGGAGAATCATCTGTGTCGGTAAATTCTTTAATAATTTTTTTTATTTAAAATTTTTATATTTCTGATCATTAAAAAAAATAATATATGGAATGAAAAACCATACACAGTAAACTGAGGTCACTTTAGAAGATTACACATTTTTCGTTCCTGTTAGATATTTTTCTTTATGAAGCCAGGATTTGGATTCGAATCGTGATCTTAATTTCTCCACCCTTCATCAAACCAAATTCAGGTTTTGACATTTTAAAAAATGAGGTTCGGTTAGGCGGGTCCAGACAGGCCTAATGCTTTAAATAATTATGTGCATGATATTTAATCAAATACCAGTATTAAGGATCCCCCAATAAAAATTAAAATTTTTATCTGAACTGTGCCATATGATATATGGAGAGCCATGGGCCAAAAAAATAAATAAACTCAAAGGATTCTAATTTACTTGATTTTAAAGAATAGAAGATTCTCCTTGTTATAAGGTTTCGTTGAAACTACAACTTAATTCGTTTTTTTAATAATAAAATGTGGGTCATTTGGTACAAAGAATCCTTCATATCGTGACATCAAAGATTATGTTTTGGTCGATAGGGAGTTAATAGAATTTTAAAGGGAGGGAAGTATCTAATCAAGATTAAAGAGGTCGTGAAGGTTCAACATCTATGTTTAGGATCATTCCAATAAATATTTAATTTTAAATAACTATTTTTAAATATATTATGCACTTTTAAAGGAACACTAACCATAAAGAGATAAAATGCTTTTGAAAAAAGAGTATTGTTGTTTCATTCTATAAAAATACTAAAAAAATTTAAAAAAATTAAACGCTTAAACATGTATCAAGTTATGCGATATTTCCGAACCATCAGAATTATCATTTTTCTATAGCAATGCAATTCTTTTAGCAACGAAGAAGATATAGATAACAACTTATCAGATGATTCTAATCTTACTGACATAGGGGGGTAGGCTGAAATACATCGAGGAGATTATAATAAACTTAGTATTAATGACAAAATTTCACTGAAAAAAATGTTCCTTCTCCAATTAGTAAAGTAGCAATTTAAATAAAAACGCTTAATGATTTTCGGAAAAGGTCATTAGGCCTTGTCCTGGTTCGTCTTATTTTTAAAACTTATTTCTGTTTAGCCCAGTCTAAACAGATTTTGAACTATGACACCTATTTTGATTTGTTTTAAGTTTGTACATATTATTTGTTATTTATATTCGGTACAAATAAAGCAAAGACTCGTTGACCGGTACATAAATCAAAATAGATTTTCTTTTTAGACTGCTAACCAGACATGGCCTTAACAATTATATGTCCTATTTTTTTCATAGATGTTCATTCTTTGAACAATATCACATTACGCAAAAATAAAAAGAATTTCTGATCTTTATATATCAATGCTAAAAAGATTTATGGGATTTTATTGGCATTACGATCTTCCGAAGGAGCAAATTTATGGTCAAATAATATAAACTAATCTATTCAACTTGATAGAAAACCCTATATACAAATTTAACACAAGAAAATAACTTTAGTTTAGATCTTCTGCTGACGCCCTATAAAGCAAAAGAAGATTCAAGACCTGCAAAACGTAGTCGATTTTCATAAATTCCAATTAATTCGATTTGCGTAATATGTTTATTTTATATATTATTAATTTTAAAAATACCATTCATAAACTTTCTAAATAAAAATAAGAAAATTTTATTGATGATTGATAAGTGAAATGGTGAAAGTACCATATTTGGTACAGTTAACTAACAAATCTGATAAGATATTGAGCTGACATTTTCAGGGTTTCTTAATAAAACCTATATATTAAAAATATCAAGATGTGACACCTTATAATGGGTTAATAAAGAGAAAAAAAGAAAGAAATATTTTCGATTTAATGATGCGGGATAATTTTTTTTAGAAAAAATGATATACCATGCAAAAAGAATAAAATTATGCAAAAAGACATATAATTAAGAATGATTGAAACCATTTAGTTTTTTGGTTAAATTCTTGGCAGCCAACCAGCACATCAAATCAAAGTAAGGGAACATAAATCTGTAAGCTGTCTTGAGGCGCGATTCTATTTCGTATATACTAATTGTAAAAGAATATGAAAAGGATATAGTATTATAATAAACTTAAAAGACTAAAACGAGACCCAAACTTACCATGTATGTTCATATGATTTTTCAAAGCCAAAAATAATTGTGATTTAAATTTACTCTATTATTTTAAATTATCTAGAAGCTCTAGAATCCAAACCTTAATTGTTGAGAGGCGTTGAAGGAATGAAGAAAATTTCCTCCAAAAACGAGTGAGTCGATAGGTGTTAATACTGCGTGGATCCATCCGGAGGGTAGGAAAAGTGTTTGCCCCTTTTGTAATAAATTATAAAATCTTAACATTATATATATTTGAATCTCTCAAAAAGTTGCTGTTATTACTATATTATGTCAAGGTTATAATAACTATTTTAAAAAAAAGAAGAAGATGATAGTGACTTGTTTAATGGTGCATTGATAAACGTTTTCTACCATGTCGCCGAAGAATACCTGAGTTTGATCACTGAGTTGGGACCATTCTTCGTAAAGTTGCAAATTTTGAGGCGAAGGTGGAATAAGGTAAAATATTTTCTCGCCCTTTTTTGGATAATAATAATTATTATTATGTAAGTGATTAACGATGCATTTATTTCTTTCAAAATTTAAGCGATTATTATTCTATTAAAATCTATCTAACTTTAAATTAATATTTTTCCCAAATTAACTTGACAAAATTCAAAGATATTTAAGAATATATCACAATTCAACTAAATATTTTTACTTTTATCAATTTTGTTTGCTAAAATATTTTTTAAAAAAGTGGGCAAGATTATTAAGGAAATATACCCTAAGAACGTGATACCATACGGAAGACCCCCCAAAATCGATGTGGAAATCTGTGTAACTGTCTCGAACACTCATTAAGCAATATTTTTCCACGCAAGGTGGGTAAAGGTATTCAATTTCGGCCATATTGTCCTTTCCTTCAAATTCGTCTTCTTTCTTATCATCAGCCGAAACTTCGTTAGAAAATAGGTGATTTTTAAGTGTGGCACTCAAAGAATCATATGTATTATAAGGTTGATAAGAATCGGATTTAAATCGATTGTGGGTCAAGTTTTTGTCGCAGGAATGACTGGAATTGCCATAGTAAATACTGGTTGAATTGAGATTGTCCGGAACATTTATATGTGAGTGGGGCGGTGGCCTAGGCCAATATAGTTCCACCCAGCTTAAACGCCTAACTATTCTGGGTACTTTGATCATCTTTCCTAAACTTAATATTTTTTGTTAAAACGAAATTTATAATAAAAAAAATTTAAATCAAGGTAACATAAATATCAAATGCCACAAATGATTAATTATGATATGCTGCAAATATCAAATCGCTATTATGAATTATCTGAAATACGACTATCGTGGAGAATTTTATCGAGTGCAAGAGAATAAATGAATACTAATCAGAAACACTATTTGATTGATAATTGGATCAAAAAATTTAAAAAATCCTCGCGAGTATACCTACAAAAAACTAATAGAATCAAATAATTCGTATTCGTACGAATAATAAAACCTTATTCGATTTGAAAATTAAATTCTTTATAAATATTTTCAAAAATAAAATAATGGATTATTAAAATTTTAAAAAGTGATTTCTAGAGTGGAAAAAATTTTAAAAAAAAGTTTAGCAAAAAACATGTTACATGCTTAAGAATAAATATTTATAAATAATTTAAATTCGTTTTAGGTATACTCGCGAATATCTGTGTATATTTTCAATAAAAAGAAAAACTCATCAAACATCAATATATAAAGCTAATATTTAATCGGTTTGTAGAATACGAGTAATTTTAACCTATAGAAAGAGATCTGTAAAAAAGACCCGAAGCCCAAAGCTTTGAAAATTTTTAGATTTGTTTTACAGACCTCTAATATAATCTTAACATATAAAATTCAAAAAAAAAATTATTGGGCCCTCTCACTCTCCCTTGTTATGGGGAAAATTAATGCTTTATATTTATCGATTATTTTCACTCGGTATCTGTAACTTCTAGGCTAATAACGTTATAGATTTTATCCCTAACTGGATTGGTATAGTATTTAAGCCATTTTTTTAGCCGCATTTTGATCTCCGTTTGATTGTGCACGTCTATTACATCGATCATCTTGTCTCGATCTAAATTTAATGTGTGAATAAAAATAAAATACTTGTCAACCATAATAGGAATATGTTATATTTTACAACTAACATAATAAAAAGGTCTATCATTGCCAAATTTTTGTTATGGAAAATTCCAATGCCTATACAACTTTAAAAATCAGCGAAGATAAAAAGATGATTATGAAAAGTCTTTTTGAATTTATTAAAAATTACATCTCATTTAAAATTAGATTTGTTTCATATCTATGGTCAAAAAGGCATCACCGTGACAAAGTTGGGTTGACAAAGAATATTCGATAATGGGTTAACTTTCGCAGGAAGGGGTACTGTTTGATTATGGCACCAAAATGTTGTAACTATCTGAGTAACTAGAAAACGTCGTCTTTACTTTGTTTGTTCAATGCTAACCTTTGATAGCCTCACCCCTAAATTGTAGGAGTTTTAAAGATACCCCAAAATGATAAATAATCTTAAATTAGAATTTTTTAGCCTACATTAAGTCATCGTTTGAAATAATATATTCGATTCGTAAAATAGGGGCACAAATCTTAACCAAAAAAGTCATTGATTCCCACAATGGATCATCAAACGTCCATTTACTTGACATTTTAAGCATATCGTTTTTTACTACCACCTTCCTTTTCTTATTCCATTTCCATACTTGCCCTAGCTCCCATAGATATCAAGTTTTTATATTTTACCGCATCCGGTAATGCTACAGACCACCCTGTGTTTAATACCTCTTCCCTCTGAAAGAATTCACCTCACGTATTGAGAGTGGCCGTACCATAGTCCTCTCCACAATGACCACGTCGCAATATATCTGCTTATGACATACTCAAAACATCTCTTACCCCCGTATTTAGAGGGGATGTACCATCTATAGCAGACCGCATCTCCCCTCCTCCGTCCCCTGGAACATTCCACTTCTACAATCCAATTTTGTGTCCCTTCTGACCACAACTAAAGCAAACTCTTTTCCGGGAGTGCTTCCTCAAAATGAGTTTCAAAACCGATAATCCACAATTGATCCTTTAAATCACCGAGAACTACACTCCTAATTCCAGGAGTGTTCCCTCAAAATGGTCTCAAAGCCGACTCAATAGGGCCGTTAAACCACCGATAACTGTTAATCAGCATATTCCTTCCTCATTCCTCCCAATGAGCCACGTCGAGAATCTTCAATCTACTTGCCAAACCGCCGGCAATTAACATTCAACCTACTATACAACACCATTTTACGATGCTCTCCACAATTCTCCTTTTATTCCTTCGAAATTTTTGACATTTTGCCCAACCGTGCATTCGTAGACTACCAGATGATTCTACTTGGCATACTCGGTTTATAATATGGGTAATAAATAGTGGCTAAAAATGTTACATTCCAAGTCAAAATCTAAAATTTTTCATATCTTTTCTCCAGAACAATAAAAATAATATTAAGTAAGGTTAACAATACTTCAGTGAGCCATTTTGTAAAATAAATTTTTGCCAAGTTCTAAATAATATTGAAGCTATGTTGCCATAATATCCCTCCTTCTATAACCTATCGTGCAATTGATAGAAATAATATTTGAGCCTATTCTTCTACTTGATCAACACTTTCATTTAGACCTGCATGAGCTTTTCAAAAATTATAAAAGTTTAATTTTTTGCAGTATAGTTTCGTGATAAAATAATTTAATTATTATAATATCAGTTTTTATAGCAATGTGGGTCCTAAATAAAATTTGTTATGGATTGAAAGGTTCCCTTGTGCGTTAACTTTAAAAATATACCATCTAAGATAGCAGATTTTATGTGCTGAATAAAATTGAAAAGACCATAATATTATATCATATAAATTTAATACTTTTCAATTTTCATTTGTTCCTGAAGAATTTCATCTTCGCCTGTTATATTTGTAAATGTAATGATGTTATCCTCTGTCATTTTCATAATAATATAGTTCTTTTACATTAGAAGTGACTCCGTATATTATAAATTATAAAATAAAGTGAGGCCATTGAAAATCAAATTAACTATCGATATTTTCTATTATTAATAATTTGTTTAAAATTATGCAAATTTAATTAGAAAATAAATATAGAATTCGAAGAAAAGGAACATTAATACAATGGCCCAAAGTTACATTTCAATACATGCGTTAATCTACCAGCTTAACCTAACGCACTAGCTTTTACAAAATGTGCTTCGCCACTGTAAAACTCTGCTGTCAAATAACAATATACAAATAGATCTAAATAAGGTTTTACTTATCAATCAAAATCAATTATTTATAATAATCTATAATAGTGCACACAAATTGAGCGTTTCAAGTGCAAATAATGCATTTCAAATCAAATAGCATCGTGAAATTGGTAAAATTGTCATTTGGCGTTAGCAATCATTTTAAAAAACCAAACAGGTTTGCTATTTTCAATAGTTTTTTATTCTTCATTTTGTAATATTATATAAAATATAAAAAAATTAACTTACTTATATAAATAAAAAAGGCAGACAATAAAATAATTTTCAAAAAAAATTCTTTTTTAAACCTTTTAAAATTTTGAACCAATGAATGATATTAATAAAAAGTCAGCCTCAATTTAAACAAGGGATGCGTGAAGCTTTTTTATTAAAAAATTACGGCAAAACGCAAACGCTCAATTTACGGTTTGACTAAACTACAAATGCCTATAAACTGCAAATGTCAAGGTAAAAATTTTTGATATATACTCTATTAATTGATAAAGGATTTAAACTATTTATTATGATATAAAAAGAAATACAACTATTAATGTGTAACCTAGGGCTGTGCCGATCCACATAATTTTTACCGATCCGATCTGATATTTCCCGATACTGGTTCAAAACCGATCCGATATTTATATTGATTTTTCACCACCCCCCTTTGAACCAAATGTAATTATAAGAAATCAATATTTTTATGCAAAAAATCGAATTATGCATTTAATTTTTTTTTTCTACAATTAAAAAAAAGTTTACGGATATTGGTAGTAATAAATGAAATATTCATTATTCCTCCCCTTGAAATTATAACTCCGCAGATAACGCATTTTGCAAAATTATCTTAGCCTTTTGTAAAATATTTGCATAATTCAGATATCATATTTAAAAAAAATTCTTTTATTTAAAATATAAATAATAAAATTGGGGTTATTATTTAAAAAGTTAAAATAAATAAAACTTAAGGGATGTTGTGCATTTGCATTATTTAAAAAAAAAATTATTTAGAAAATATTTTTAATGTAAAATAAATATACATAAACAAAAAAAGTAAAGTAAAAAGATCGGATCAGATCAGATCGGTTTTTTACAAGCATCGGCCCGATCCGATATTTTTGAAAAAGGTTAAATATCGGTGCCAATCCGATCCGATATTTAATATTGGCATAGCCCTAGTATATTCCTTTATCATTGAATATATCTAATAATTTAATTTTTATAAGTTATTTATCATAAGAAAATAAATCTCACTTCAATTAATAGAGTATATATCAAAAATCTTTACCTAAGCATTCGCAGTTTACCCTGGCTTTGTAGTTTTTACCTAAGTATTTACAGTTTTGTCAAACCCCTCAATTTATGAGCACTATAAGACAGTTCGTATGTCAAAAGTTTCAAATTCATAGCCTTTTTAGGAGTGGTTCAGGTTGGGGTAAATTTTTTAATGGTTCAAGTTCAATTTGGGTTTAGTAATTAACAGTTAATACTGGTTTAACGCTTCAAATCATGTTCAGATATAAGAATTTACCAAGTTCTTTATTTGAACTAGAAAAATATTTCAAATTTTAAAATATTAAGGTTGTACATTGCAATTTTTTAAAATAAATGTAAGATTTCAAAAACAAACAAAATGGCCTTGAACAAAAAGAAATAATGATATTTTATAAATCTATGATAATTTATTATTTAATTGATTGAGATATTATCAAATACCATTTGTCTTAAATCGCTATTTAAATATTTTTAAAAAAATCATGATTTTCACCACTCCTATCAGGCAATATTTGGTATCACTGGAAACAATCTGTGGATAGGGCCAACAGAAAAAGTAAGGATACATGTAAATTGTGATAGATGCTAATAGACGATGGTCAGAAATAATTGAGATGAATAGTAGACACAGAAAGCTTGATATCAGGGTACATGAATGAAGAGGGGAGGGTAGGAGCAACGAAGAGGGAACAAGGAAAGTTTCAAAAAGGTATTTTGGGGTAGAGGGGGTATAACCGAAATTATGGTAATATTAAAATCAATTAAAGACTATTTAAAAAAAATACAATAAAGTGTTGAGGCTAGTTTTTTATTTTTTTATGTATTCAGGAATGCGCCAGAGGGAGAAAACGGTCAAAGCCGACCGAAATATTAAACTCCAATGACTATTAGAACTTTCTGGAAAGGAATATTGCGATAAAATAGGGTAGTATTGTGAACAAGAATTCTGAGAAAGGTTTAGTCAGGAAGGTAAAAGAAAATTAAAAAGGGAATAATAAAAAAAGTAGGGCTGTGCCGATACACCTATTTTTCACCGATCCGATCCGATATTTGCTTAAAACCGATCCGATACCGATAAGATATTTATATTGATTTTTCACCACCCACCTTTGAAAAGAAATCAATATTTTTTATGCAAAAAAATGGAATTATGCAATTAGAGGTGGGCGCGAACCGTGAAATTACGCGTGACCCATCGTGTCACGGTGGGTCACGGCGGGTCACGGCGTGAGTGTGAATAAATGTTAAATTCCAAGGCGTGACGGGCCTTCCCAAAATTTTCTCCGTGCGTGATCGGGCGTGAACATAAATTTCCCGTGAATCACGGAAATTTTAATTTTTAAAATTGTTTTTTTTATAAATATAAATTTGCAATTTTATAATTATATATTTTCTTATTTATTTTAGTTCTTTTTTAAAAAAGAATAATTTATGAAAACTAAAAATCTTCCGCATTTTATAAACAACATCCGGTAACATTTCGTTAGTTCTATTTTCTTTTTATGTTTAGATGT